ATGTATATTTTGAAAAAAAAATCTGTGGGGCTCGGTGGTGTAGCTTAGCAGCTAAAGTCCTTGCCTTGAACGCCCTGGGATCCCATCTGAGCGCCGGTTCTAATCCCAGCAGCTCCACTTCCCATCCAGCTCCCTGCTTGTGACCTGGGAAAGCAGTCGAGGACAGCCCAAAGCTTTAGGACCCTGCACTTGTATGGGAGACCCGGAATAAGTTCCTGGATTCTGGCTTCGGATCGGCATAGCATCGGCCGTTGTGCTCACTTGTGGAGTGAATCATTGGACGGAAGATCTTCGTCCCTGTCTCTCCTCCTCTCTGTATGTGTGACTTTCCAATAGAATAAATAAATCTTTAAGAAAAAAATACTTTGTGGATAAACCCATCAGATATTTGAAGAATATTTTCAGGAGCTTGGGAGAGAAATTTTCATTAAAGATACATGTTTGGTAGCCACATTTTTAAAAAGATTTGTTTATTTTTATTGGAAAGTCAGATTTACAGAGAGGAGAGACAGAAAGATCTTTCATCTATTGGTTCACTTCTCAAATGGCTGCAGTGGTAGGAACTGAGCTGGTCTGAAGCCAGGAGCTTCTTCCAGGTCTCCCACGTGGGTGCAGGGTCCCAAAGCTTTGTGCCATCTTTCACTGCTTTCCCAAGCCACAAACAGGGAGTTGGAAGAGTTGTGGACAGCAGGGATATAGACCGGCATCCATCCATATGGGATTCTAGTGTACGCAACATGAGGACTTTAGACATTAGACTGTCAGGCCCTACATTTGTTTTCTTTTACTAAGTAATTACTAGGGACACAGTGGCTTTAAGCAACACAATTTATTATCTCCTTGTTTACATGAGTCAGGAGTCTGGGCATTGATTAACCGGCTTCTCTGTTCAGGTTCTCACCAAGTGGAATCAGGCTGGGGCTACAGTCTCATTTGAGGCCTGTGGTCCTTTTTCCAAGCTCATTAGTTTGCTGTCAGGATTTAGTTCCTTCAGTTGGAGGATGTAGACCTTGGTTCTTAGAGACAACTTGCTATAAGCTCTCATAGAACCTTTTTTTGTTTTTGGCTTCTCACTCAGCAGAGGCTGCTTCATTGCTGTGTTAATTTGGAGAGAGAGAGAGAGAACGCAACTGGGAGCCTAGAACTCAGTCTAAATCTCCTATGTGGGTGGCAGGGATGCAAGTACTTGAGCCGTCACTACTGCCACTTAGAGTGTGCATGTGTGCATTAGCAGGAAGCTGTAATTGGAAGTGGAACTGGCTTGAATCCAGCCCCGTTCATATGGAATGCAGACATCCCAACATCTTAACCACTGCTCCTGGCTGATCTGTGTGAAGGTAACTGCCTTGTGAGAGAGTCTTCTGAATCTTCCTGAAGCAGGTTTGAGAAGTGCCAGGGGAATCTGGATATTCAAGATGTTTGGGAGTCCTGGCTCAGATATATCTATTCCCTGCATTGGAGTCTTTGCTAGCCAGGGCTTGATCTTGGCACAGTGGACCTGCCTTATTTGAAGAGTTCAAACTTCTTTTGAGTTCAGCATAGATGGGTGGATAGTTAGAATATCTGTATCATAGGAATGAGATGGACACATGGAAATGAATGGATAGTCATTGAGTACTAGTCTGGTCATTAGGTTTCTGTCTTCCTGCAGCAGGAGGGAAGAGCCTCTTTATTTCTCTGAAGGCACTCTGGCTTTCAGACTTTCAGTTTATAGTGAGTCAGCCTTTTTTGTTGTCTTTATTTTTTTCTGGACATCCAAGAGTCTAGCAATATCTTTCCAGTTCCATTGTTTTGTGTTTGCTGTTTCTACTTCATTGCCAGCATTAAAATCCCATCTTAACATCTGCTACCAACTGCCCTGGAAACCTAGTGTTCATTAAGCTGTTTCCTTTGCATCAACATATGGGAGAAAGGAATCCTGAGCAATGGAGGCTCCACAGCAGCTCTGATCAGTGCTGCTGGGGAACTGGACTGACCCTTCCTAGTTTGTCGGGCTTCTGTGTGACTGTAATGACCAGTAGTTGGAGATGGACTACCTGGGATGCGGCCTTGGGCAGGGTGGTTTGCAGGTGAGGCATTTTCTGAAGGGACTGACTGCTTCCAGCAACTGTTCCTTGAATGGGGAAAAAGCACCTCCATGTCTACTACAGTTTTTCTGAATTTACTAAATTACTCGCGTGTTTGTTAACATGATTATGAACTTGCAGACAACTACACTCTTAACTTCTACACAGAGAAGAGTGCACAGATTGTTAAGGGATAACCCAGGAAATGTCCACACAGTAAACACATCAATGTATCAGTATCCAGATAGAGAAATAAAACAACATTGAAAGTCCAGGTGTTGCCTTCGCCCTGGTGATTCCATCCAGTGCTACCTTCTAAGGATCTCTTCTGTCCCTCCTTGTTAGATCACTGGATAAAGGGAACATGGGTTTGAAATTGTGTCACTTAATTATGCAGTGTATCTTTAGTTCTGACCTCTGGTCTTCTGTATTATATGTGTGAATTTACGTTTATAGCTGTTAAGTCATTTATTCCCACTGTGATATAGTTTTCCTTTGTATAAATGTACTACTTAAGTTTCTGTTGATGATAGACATTTGGGTTGTTTCCAGTTTTTAACCATACATATTTATTTTAAGAGTACATTCCTCATGCATTCAATGTGTGTATTTGATTGTAGTAGATAATGCAAATTTCCAGGGTTATTACTGATTTATACTTCTGACAGCACTTGAAAGTTCCAGTTGCTGTGGCTTGGCCCTGTTATAAGATGAAGCTTCCCTCCCCACTAAGGCTTATAACTAGGGATTGTGTGTGTTTACCAAAGTACCTACACTAGAAGATTCTACACACCAGTCTTTTTTCTTCTTGAAGCTGTAAGACAATCAAACTCTTCTCAACGTTTCAGAAATTTTTGACTTACCCTTTTACTTGTCTCCACAATTTACATAAGTTTTTGAAACCCCTTCAATCTTCAGTATTGTTCCCAGCCATCAGTGACCATCAGTATCTCTGATGATTTCTTTTTTCTTCACAGAAAGAGTTTGCCTGAAAACAGCCTTATTTCTCCATGTCTTTTTTTTCCCAAATTCTTCAAATGCCCCAGGGAAAAAGCAGCTGCAGACGAGCCTTACCTCACCACAATTCATCCCTTTTGGAATCTTAGCTGTAGTCCTCATTCTTTCAGGGGCTTTCTGAAATCTTTTGGACACATGGTTTTTTGTATTTAATCTGTTAAACCTCAATTGTTCATGAGAAGATGGTGTTTTGAAATTTCTTTTCTTATCAGTGTTCAAATTATTACAGTTTGGCCAGTGGGACCTTCTTCAATGTTTAAAATTCATTTCTGAGTCTTTTTGAATTGTTCCTTTCTAGTTTATGTTGCTATTGGATACAATAAGATATGTCTGGCTTACTACATGGAATCAGTAGTTCCCTGAAGAATCCTCGATTCCTTTCTACTGGGAAATAATATTTCAAGATTACAAGATTGGGAGTAAGGGTTGTTTATTACTTATGCAATTGGTATATTGTTCCTAGGAATTTTCAGTGGCCACAAATAAGAATCCATTTTCTTCATACAAAGTCAAATACATTAAAAGTCCATGTAGCTACTTCCAATGTAAATTTAAGACTATAGGGGTGAGTATTTGGCCTTGTGGTTAAGATGTTCCTTATGATACATGAGTTCTGTAATGTAGTGCCTGGGTTTAGTTCCTGGCTCCCACTCAGCACTCCAGCTTCCTGCTAATCCAGACTATTAGAAGCAACAGTGATGGGTCCAGTAACTGGACTCCCCCTGCTATATGATCTTTATATTAAACATTATGTCATGCTAAGCTTGTTTTCTGATTCTTTCTCTGTATCCTAAAATTGATATTCTTAGTTTTACTTAGCATTTCTTTATTTTTCAATTAATTATCTGTAATTAATTGGCTTAGCAAATGTGGACGTGCTACTTGGTTTCTTTTTTCATAATTTTAAAAATGAAAAGCTTAGGGAGGGAAGAAAGGAAGAGGAGGAATGAATCCCTATACCTACAAAAATGTGTAGTGAAAAAATTTACAAAAAGACATGATGATAACGTTACATCAAATAGCAGCTATCAATAAAAATAGAAATTGTTTTTTAAAAAAATAAGCTGTAATTAGGCTTCTTATTTTCAGAGAACCCTAGCCAGCATTCTCTGTTAGCATTAGCAGAATCTAATTTAATTGATGATGCTTGGAATACACAATGCTAACTCTTAAACAGAGTAGAGATGAACTTCTGGGCAATACACTTAGCTCATCATCAGACAGCTGTGAATGTGGTCCTCTTAGTGGATGTTTTCCAATTGTTCTTGTGCACCCTTAATTTTTTGGCTGAGGGTGATTCTCCTGAGTCAGTCTTACTGTGTTCTAGGTTTACAGTTCTTACTGTTGAGCAGTTGGCAGTTATTTCTGACTAGAAGTCTACTATAGACATTTTGTTTTGTGATCTATTGTTCTTTGAACATTTGAGTTCAGTGTCTCAGGGTGTGAAAGTCAAAATTAGAGCAAGACGGAGAGATAAATCTTCCATCTGCTGATTCACTCCTCAAGTGGCTGTAATACCCGGGGCTAAGCTAGGAGAAAAATCAGGAGCCAGGAGCTTCATCTGGGTCTCCCACATTGGTGATAGGGGCCCAGACACTTGTGCCATTTTCACTGTTTTTCCCAAGCTGAATCAGAATTGGATTCAAGTCGGGACTTGAGCTGGTGACCATGTAGGATCTTAGAGAGTAACAAGTGGTGCCTTTATCTGCATGCTGCAATTCCTGTTCCCTCAAATTGAACATTTCTGAAAATTTAATATTTTCTATAAATTCTATTGGAAATTGGACCATGAGGTACAAATACAGATAACTGTGGTTGATGAAACTTTCCTGTGCTATGATTTTCAATGAGAAAAATTTAGTGTTTTGCTATTTTCAAAGGTAAATATTAACATTTTAAAAAATTTCTTCTTCTCAGCTTCCAATTAAAACAGGACAACAGAACACACATACCAAAGTCAGTACTGAGCGCAACAAGGAATGCCTAATCAATATTTCCAAGTACAAGTTTTCTTTGGTTATAAGTGGCCTCACTACTATCTTAAAGAATGTTAATAATATGGTGAGTATTTGGGTTACTATTTTGGGGGGATTTGGTATTTTGTTTTGTATTTAAAAGTTTAGGGCAGTATATTTTGAAGGATAGAAAAAGATTTTGTTTGCTTTTTTGTGTGGATGAGTCTGGGTGACAGGAAAGCATTGACTGAGCTGTCCCAGCTGCCTCGTAGGGTCCTCAGCAGGAGGCTGGAGCCAGGGATCAAACTCAAGTACTTAGATAGGGAACGCAGCTTTGTTAACCCTTAGACCAAGTATGATGCCTTCAGCTCTTCTTCCTCTTTGCTTTTGGATATGTATGGCTCTTGTCTTTCTCAGGTGATAAGTTCAAAACAATTCATCTGGATTTAAAAAATTAACTGAATTCTCTGCTGTTTTCTGTAATGTGTTGTGTTATTTTTATAGAACTGTGAAATAATATCTGGTTGTAGATTGTGAAGATTAATCCTATTTTTTAAATTATTAATTTGAAAGGCAGAGAAGGAGAATTTTTTTTTTCCTGAAGATTTATGCATTTTGTTTGAGAGAAAGAGAGAGAGACAGAGACAGACACACAGGGAGATTTTCCATCTGCTAGTTCACTTACCAAATGGTGTCATAGTCAAGAGCTGGGCCAGTCTGAAGGTGGGATTCAGAAGTTTCTTCCAGGTCTCACATGTGGGTACAGGGGTCCAAGGCCTTGTGCTGTTCTCCACTACTTTCTCAGGCCATAGATGGAAGCGTATGGCCTGGACACAAATTGGTGCACTTATGGGAATCCAGCACTACAGTTGAGGATTATTAGCTTGCTATGCCTCTGAGCTGGTCCACAGTCCCATTTTTTTTTTTTTTTAAATAATCACATCTTCTTTGTGTGTTTTCCATCAAGAAAGTTGCTTAGATAAAGTTCCAAGTTTATACAGTTCATAAACTGAAGATGTGTGCAGTCATTTGCCTTATGAAGAGATTGGAAAAATACTAATTAAAAAGTTCTTTTTATAGATATGTGATTTACCATAATATGTTTGGTATTTTCTCTAGTTTTTGGCTGCCTGGAGCGTGGAGCATAATAATAGCATTTTGCACATGTGAAACTGACATTTTTCCAGTTAGGTTGAAGTATTTTTAAGAACCAAAACAATATTATTGTGGTACTGGTAGTCATTAAGAGTTTATGGAATATATTGTGGAAACTCTTTTTGTTGTTGTTGTTACCAAGCAGTGCACATTTGAGCTTAACAAGTACTTAAAATTTAGTGTGCTGGGTGCTATTGCATGTGGTACTATAAGAATTAAGATGTTGATTATTTTGTGGTATAAAAGTGGGGTTAAATGTTCAATTCAAGATGGGCAGCCTAATAAATGCCAGCATTTCTCTTTGCCTGAGTATTGATTATGTGTCATTGTCAGGATAAAATAAACATTGATAGATTTAAATGTAGGATAATGTAGGGGATGAAATACAGTATTACTATTTTTCTTTATTCCCCATCCTTCACTTTTCAAATGTGTCCTGATTTGTTGTGGAGAATGACTGCTGGATTTCATGTTCTGCTTATCTTTCAGAGAATATTTGGAGAAGTTGCTGAAAAAAATTTATATCTCTCTCAGTTGATTATATTGGATACACTGGAAAAATGTCTTGCTGGGGTAAGTAAATCCCTTGTCAAATAGGGATGTTTTGACAATGATCTGATGTTCCAAAGTATAGATGTGGCATCCTGTGGACTTTCGGTCAGGATATATGCATATGAACTTTGTTAATACAGCTTACATGGTGGTGCAGATGAAGTATTTAATTAAAAGTTATTCTTTCTTTTGTAAATTAAGTAGGCACTAAGTTTACTTTAAAGGATTAAGTTTGAGCCATGTACTTTTCTATTTTTTGAAGAATCTATCATTTGATTTAATTAAATTTCTCAGGCATTGTGGGGCTGTGGTATTGTATGCCTGTGAAAGAATGCTAAAAGAAAAAGAAGGAAGAATATGATTCAGAATACCAGAAGTAATCTTGTTTCCACTTCTGTATGAGAATATTAATATTCTGTTTTTCAAGTCTTTGTTAAATGTTGAACCTGTCCTATTAAGGATATCTATTACCTGAAAAACATTTGTCTTGTGTAAAAATGGATACATACAAGTGTAATAGGTATATGAAAATTAATTGAGTTAACAAGCAAGTTTTCTTCTTTTTTAAAGATTTATTTGTTTTATTTGAAAGTCAGAGATGGGGAGAGAAAGGGAAAGACACACACAGAGAGAGAGAGAGAGAGAGAGAGAGAGAGATCCTCCATCCACTGGTTCACTTTCCAAGTGATCACAACAGATCTGCTTGGCTGATCCATAACTGCAGGTTAAGAGCTTCTGGTTTTCTCATGTGGGTATGGGACTCCAAAAGCTTGGACCGCCCTACACTGCCTTCCCAGGCCGTGAGCAGGGAGCTTGATAGGAATTAGAGCAGCTGGGCCTTGAACCAGCCACCCATATGGGATGCTGGCACCACAAAATTAACCTGCTACACTACTGTGGCAGCCCAGAACCAGTTATTCTATTTCCCTTCTGACTTAATTTGTGCTTTTTGCAAGAATATTTCTTTTTTAAGATTTATTTATTTTTATTGCAAAATCGGATGTACAGAGAGAAAGAGAGGCACAGAGAAAGATCCTCCATCCATTTGATTCATTCCCCAAGTGGTTTCAATGGCTAGGGCTGAGTCAATTTAAAGGCAGGAGCCAGGAGCTTCTTCTGGATCTCCCGTGCAGCTTCAGGGTCCCAAGGCTTTGAGCCATCCTCGACTGCTTTTCCAAGCTGGAGAGGAGAGGAGAGGTGAGGAAAGGAGAGGAGAGGAGAGGAGAGGAGAGGAGAGGAGAGGAGAGGAGAGGAGAGGAGAGAGAGAGAGAATGAGAATGAATCTCCTTCCACTGGTTCACTCCATGAGTGGCTGAAATGGCCAGAGTAGAGCTGACCTAAAGCCAGGAGCTTCTTTTGGGTCTCCCATGTGGGTGCAGGGTCCCAAGGCTTTGGGGCCTTCCTTGACTGCTTTCCAAGACCACAGGCAGGGAGCTGGAAGGGAAGTGGAGCAGTAGGGTTACAAACTGGTGTGTGTATGAGATCCTGGGGCATGCAAGGCATTGACTTTAGCCACTAGGTGACTGCCAACCACAGTGCTTCCATATTAAAGATCTATGCGTATTAGAGTGAACTCATTTTTTGTATTTTCTCTTACTTTGACATGAAATTGAAACTTTTGCTTTTATCTCCATTTGTTATAGTTGTTTATAGAAACCTTTATGCAAGGGACTTGAATATATGAGGACTGATTATGTGGTGGAATGTGCTGGAGAGCTGGAATGGTTAGAAGTATTTAGGAAAGGGATGGTGTAAAAAATTGGAAAGCATAATGTATTCACACAACTGTAAATCCCCGTAAAGCCATTGGGCACAAAACTATGTGTGCTATTTTGAATTTTTTCCTTCTTTATTCTTGGCCATATTCCAAAATTTTTGGGCTTGACTTAAATTGAGAGTTAGCTCTTTTAGCTTGCTGCTCTCTGTTGTGATTTGGTGGTGTTCATTTATAAGAAGGAGCAGAAGATCAAAAGGACTGTTAAATGGATGATGGACTAGAGGCAGTGTTTGATTTCTTCAGTCAGTTTTTTGTGATGTCCTGTGCGTTACTAGGGTATCAACCACACCCTGATTGAATGAACAGAGGGTGGCTCATTGCCTTTTTTAATTCCACAGCTTTTTCCCATTCACCTTTGAGAGATATTATTAAATGCATTTTAGAGAATGATCAGATATTTATTGACCCTTTTTGATTGAATAATTTGGAGATAACCTAGAGCTGAAATGTTAATAAATCAACCAGGCATAACTAATATAAAGCATAAAATGCATACCACCTTGTCTTACTTTGGTATTGGAAATGTATTTTAAAAAAGGAAATTTATAATTTGGAAGCACTGCTAACCATATTATTAAATAGTTGTTTTGTTGGGTTATCATCCATGATTTTTTGGATGTCTTTCGATTTTTGGGTCAGATAAAGCTGAGGCAGTTCAAGAACTAAGCCTACATGTAGGCTATCTATATGTAGATATTTGTGATAATAGTTGAAATACTATGTGAAAGAAAACTAAGTTACCAATATCATAAAGGTTTATAGAATCTGAGGAATCTTAGTGTGAAAACTGTCATTTAAAATGTCTAATACTTTTCTATCATGTTTTTATTCATTGGTGATAGTTTAAAATCTACACTGTTAGTCATAAGAAATGAGAGAATCAGGTCATAGTAATACAGATTTTTGTGTTTTTGCCACCTTTTACATTATTATCAAAATTGATATTTGTATATAGGTCCAAATATGCTGAGGTAAATAATGATGTGAAACAGCATCTTCAGGAGAGTTATCTGTTGATTATTAGTTACTTGTGTTTACTTTGCAAAGCAGAGATCTCAGTGTTCAGCACAAAGTGATCAAGCTTGGTATCATGAATAGGGGGTCACCTGGCCTCTTGTGCTTCACATGTAATGTAATCTAGACTGGGCTGAATTGCCTAAAAGGTTTAGCCTGAATCTAATCAGACTGCTTGGTTTAAATTCCAATTTACGTGAAAGATAGTAGCTAGAGGAGCAAGTTTCACCACTAGGAAACAGTCAAACCAAGAATATGGAATATTCTGTCAGAGTACTGTGCAGTTTCTTAGGTCATTTTCATGTAAAGTAAAAGTGATGTTTAAGAGATTGCTATAGAATGCAGTAACTAAAGGCATATGACCATCACATTACAATAGGAACCTTGTTTAAATACTGTTTGAATTTTTTATAAGCTACACATTTTTGGAAAGATGTTTTAGGGAAAGTGCTGCAATTTGATTATAGATTGGATACTGGACATACAAAGGAAGTGTTCTTTGGAATATTAATTGTATTGAAGTGAAGTCCTTAATTTTAAGATGTTGAAGTGTATGTATAGGCTAAGTGGTATTATGTTTACAACCTACTTTGAGGTGATTTAACCAAAACAAAATTATTCATAGTAAATAACACCTATTTTGGTCAGTCTGCGTGAAGGCAAGTGTAATCACCCACCAAGAAATTTGTTTGGATATTAGAGAGATTACTAATAGTAATAGTCATTTGTGACTACACTGTGTGTGACAAGTTACTTAGAACTTAAGGCAAAATGGGAATTCCCAGGAAAGGAAAGAGGGCTCAGTTGATGACTAACGGAGCCAGCATGGGTAGGGGGGATAATGAAGCTGTGTGGGAGGATGGAATAATTTTGATTATGGGTTGAAAGAGAAATGTGCTTCTTACTAGACTATCTATAGATAAATGCTACACTTTTGAAGAAATGTTAGTCATGGGAAGTAGGTGACAGATATGCAGGTGTTTATTTTTGCCTTTGTGCTCTTCTGTGATATTAGAAATTTCTCATAAGAAATGTTTGCAGGTATAATTAAGACGTTTTTAGAATTATGTTATTTGTATTTTAGCAACCAAAGGACACAATGAGATTAGATGAAACGATGCTGGTTAAACAGTTGCTGCCAGAAATCTGCCATTTTCTTCATACCTGTCGTGAAGGAAACCAGCATGCAGCTGAACTTCGGAATTCTGCCTCTGGAGTTTTATTTTCTCTCAGCTGCAACAACTTCAATGCAGTCTTTAGTCGAATTTCAACCAGGTTAGTGTACAAATCTACATAATTGCAAAGTAGCATGCTACAGAAAGTAGACTGTGTGCTAAATGTGTGTTCAGCTCTGATTTATTGAATATTTTCAGCATATGCTATTATGCTGTTTTATCCTAATAACTGAGAGGTAGGTGATATTTGCTTCCCTTTACAGGCAAGCAAACTGATACCCCAAAGAGTTCAGATGACATCCCTAATAAAGGAGAACCCCAAATTTCTAAGTCTGTCTGGCTTCAGAATCTGTATTAATTCATTATACCAGTTGTATCTCGTACTTCTGTTTTAGGCTTATTTTAATGAAATCCTTTGTGTACTATATACTTCTGTGCTTTGAAAGTTTATCCTGGGGCAGACATTTGGTGCAATGGTCTCTTGGGATGCTTGCAACCCATGGCTGGTTCCAGTCTCAATTCTACTCCTGATTCTTAACTCCCTGCTAATCTATACTTCAGATTGCAGCAGATATTGGCTCAAGTTCTTGGGTCCCTGTCATGTATATGAAAGTTCTGTCTTTGGCTTGGCCTAGCTTTGGCTATTTCTGGCATTGGGGGTATTAGCCAGTGAATGGAAGATCTCTCTCCCTGTACTTTGCAATGAAAATTAAATAATTAAATAGATTTTTTTTATTAATTACATTGCATTATGTGACATAGTGTTATGGGCATTGGGATTCCCCCCACCCCTCCCCGAACCCTCTCCCCATGGTGGATTTCTCCACCTTGCTGCATTACCACAGTTCAAATTCAGTTGAGGTTCTTTCATTGGAAGTATAATTAAATAGATTTTAAGGAACAATCATAAATATAATTTTTTTGGTTAATGATGCAAAATCATTTTTGTGAGCATTATACAGGTAGAGCGTAAATGGTGCTATGTGGGGGTGGAATCCTAACTCTAGCAAAGAACTTGGGAACTTGGTTTCATACAAATGATTTGCTTTACGATTGAGGGAAGATGGCCGACGTAGGAGAAAGGCTATGAGGGAGAGTTCAGTGAGAGAAGGTTAGAGTGCTGCAGAGGCAGCGAAGAGGAGCGGCAGGAAACCGTAGGGAGAGGTCCGTGAAACTCCCTGGGACAGTGTGGAGCCAAAAAGTTCCACACAACTCGGAAGAACAACGAGAACGGAGCAGGGCAAAGGTAGAGAAGCCGACATCCCACTCCAGACCTGCTGAGTCACCTTTGAGAGCGGCCTGACGGGAGACGCGGCCAGCTTGGAGACAGGGAAATCGGAGGGATTGTCGCCGGCGGAATTCTTCAACAACAGCAGAAGCAGACTGCAGCAGCCGGACTTTGGTGAGCTGGGGATTAACGTGGCAGCCTCCGCATTCCCCACCCCCTGCTGAGGCTCCAGCCTCTGAGAACACAAGGGGCGCAACCTGAAACTGTCAGGTCTGTGCCTTGGGAACAGCGGTGCGTGTTGGTGGCTGAAAAGGTCCCGGGAAAGCGCCTCAGATCTTCCTGCGCTAAGTGGGCCAGTGCATCTCAGCGCGCGGAGGCTGCTGGTGGGAGTCTGGAATCCCCGACACCCTGAAACCCTGTGGGTGGGCGACAGCACCAGGAGGACTCTGAGCGCCGCGCCGGGCTGGGCTAGGCGGTCCCGCCTGCAGCAGCCGCCTCCGTAGCGCAGGAGTCAGGAGGGTGCTGAACTGGGAAGTGTAGCGCTGTGTGTCCCTGACACGCAGATGCCACTCCCATAGTGTGAACTGTCCATTCCTCGCCTCCCACCCCGCAGTCCTGAGTGTAGGCGACACACCGGGAGAGCTCTGAAATCTCCTGTGCCACACTGGCACTGTGCGATCCCGCTGAGAAGTTATTTTAACAGGGCGCCTGGGTCACACCTCCTCTACGGTCCTGTGAGGAGGAGCCACACACACACCACGAGTGGTGGAATCACTGCACAAGAGCCACGCCCAGAAAGTGCCTCAACCACAGTCTTGTGTGTGGGAGACACACCAGGCGGGCTCTGAAAAACCCTGCAGTCCCTGACAAGGAGAACGCAGGGAGAAAGCACATAAAACCTTCTACGTCCTGTGGATTCCCGTGCAGGGGGCGCGCCCAGAGAGCGCCTCCATCCCTCCACGCCCTGCGGTGGCACACCTGTAGAAGAGGTGCCCAGAGTGTGCCTGGAATCCACTGGGCCCCCAAGGTGGTGCTCTACAGCCCCGGGCCCTGAGAACGCACCAACGGTGCCTTGAAAATTACCACGCCCGGCAACACCACGCTTGCAGGCTCCAATCTCTACAGGAAAGCACCTGACAGCCCCTCAACACACGGGTCCATTTGCCTTACCAGAATACACCAACGCAATGGGAAAAACCACTAGAAAGAGCTGTGCTCCAGATGAAAGAGCCAGCACCCCACCAAACATGGGCCAAAAGCCATTATCAATATCGGCGATGCGAGATGAAGACATGGACGTGTTACCAGCAAAGGAATTGATGAAAATAATGCTAAAATTTCTCAGAGACGTGGACACAAAGCTGGAAGACTACCAGAACCGCATAATCACCGAAATACAACAAATCAAAACCAAACTGGATGCCCAAGAGAATAAAATTGAAAGCCTCATCAACAGAATAAATGCGGCAGAGGAAAGGATCTCTGAAACAGAAGACACACAAAATGAAAGTGCCCAGCGAATTAAACAGCTAGAGACAAACCTCAGCAAAACTAATAAAATGATGCAAGAGATGAAGGATTACCTTAGAAAATTGAATATTCGGATCATCGGCCTCCCCGAGGGAGTAGAAAGAGAATCTGGGATGCAAGCAGTGCTTGATGAAATTATACAGGAAAACTTCCAAAACACTTGGAACACGAATCCACCCCGCATACAGGATGGACAGAGAACTCCCAACAGACATGATCCAAAGAGATCTTCACCCAGACACACGGTGCTCAAGTTCTACTCCAATGAAGACAAAGAAGGAATCCTGAGACAAGTACGAAGTAGAGAAAAGATCACATACAGGGGAAAACCCATCAGAATTACTGCTGACTTCTCCGAAGAGACCCTACAAGCAAGGAGAGAATGGACAAAGATCTTCCAAGTCCTGAAACAAAACAACTGTCAACCAAAAATAATCTACCCAGCAAAGATCTCATTTGTATTTGAGAACGAAATCAGATACTTCAATAGCAAAGAAAAACTAGAAGAATATGTCTACACAAAACCAGCCCTGCAAAGTCTCCTTAGAAATGCGCTAGTCCCGGACAAAAAGGAGGCAAATCACAAACAAAGTTGGCAAATAAGAAGGTCTCCAAACTAAAGGCCGCACAAACAAGACAACTACATAGGCAACAACACATACACAACACAAACACATGGCAGGGCAAAATTGCAACCTCTCAATTTTAACTCTCAACACAAATGGTCTAAATTCACCAATCAAAAGACAGAGATTAATAGAATGGATCATCAAACAAGACCCAACCATCTGTTGCCTACAAGAAACGCATCTAACCAGAAAGGATGCAAAGAAACTGAAAGTGAAGGGATGGAAAAAGATATTTCACGCTAATGGACGAGAAAAAAAAGCTGGGGTAGCTATCCTAATTTCAGACGAGATAGATTTCATTCTAACTAACATCAAAAGAGACAGGGAAGGCCATTTTATACTGGTGAAAGGAATGATCCATCAAGAAGCAATCACCATCATTAATGTTTATGCACCGAATCTTAATGCACCTAGTTACGTAAAGCAATTACTTACAGACTTAAGGGAAGACATAGACACCCGCACAATTCTTGTAGGCGATCTCAACACACCTCTAACAACAATGGACCGGTCTACGAAACAAAAACTCAACAAAGAAACAACAGAGCTCACACAAACAATAGAACAACTGGACTTAGTAGACATATATAGAACTTTTTATCCTAAGGCCACAGACTATACATTCTTCTCAGCGGTGCATGGCACCTTCTCCAGAATCGACCACATGATAGGACATAAAGCGAATCTAAACAACTTCCAAAACATTAGTATCATACCATGTACCCTCTCAGACCACCATGGGATGAAACTGGAAATCAACAACTCAAAACTCCCCAAGAAGTATACGCACTCTTGGAAATTGAACAATATGCTATTAAACGAACATTGGGTCAGAGAAGAAATCAAAGATGAGATCAAAAAATTTATGGAAACCAATGAAAACTCTGATACAACATTCCAAAACTTGTGGGACACCGCCAAAGCAGTGCTACGAGGTAGATTCATCGCAATCGGAGCGCATGTCAAGGCCCAAGAAAGACGCCAAATACAGGAACTAACCTCACACCTCCAGGATCTGGAAAAACAGCAGCAGAAGAGTCCCACGCACAATAGGAAACAAGAAATCATCAAAACAAGGGAGGAGATAAACCAAATAGAAATCAAAAAAACTATACATAAAATCAACAAATCAAAAAGTTGGTTTTTTGAGAAAATAAACAAAATAGACACTCCACTGGCCCGATTGACCAAAAAAAAACAAGAGAAAGTGAGAATTAATAGCATTAAAGATGAAAAAGGCAACATAACAACAGACACTGCAATCATTAAGAAAATAATTAGAAATTACTACAAAGAACTGTACTCCCACAAATTTGAGGACCACCAAGAAATAGAAAAGTTCTTGGACTCCCACCACTTACCAAAACTCAGTCCGGAGGCAACTGCAGAATTAAATAAACCCATAACCGAGGTAGAGATTGAAACAGTCATCAAGGATCTCCCAACGAAAAAAAGCCCAGGCCCAGACGGCTTCACTACAGAATTCTACAAAACATTCCGAACAGAACTAACCCCAATCCTCTACAAGCTCTTCAAAACAATAGAGGAGGAAGCAACCCTCCCAAACTCATTCTATGAAGCCAACATCACCTTAATCCCAAAACCGGACAGAGAACCATCAGAGAAGGAAAACTACAGACCTATTTCTCTGATGAACATTGATGCTAAAATTCTCAACAAAATCCTAGCCAATAGAATTCAAAAAATCATCAG